TAGTAAGTATCTGTTAAGAAATGAAATTTCCAACGTTTCCTGCTCTTTACTAAGCCTATTGGATTCCTTGCCCAGACATAGTCCTTTTATTATTCTCTCCCTTCTCGTCTTTTACAAGCTTCACTTATTTCCCATGTGTCCCACTAAGGATAGAGATGTGTTAAGCTTTGTAGTGTGACTGCATTTCTGATCTTTTACTCAAATTTTGATGGATTGAAAATGTCACAGTGTAAAGGCAGAAACCAAAACACACAGTTAAATGACACCCAACCAAATGACACCAAATGACACCTCTTCTGCTTTCACCCATCATTGGGCAGCTTCAACTAAATTTAACACTTAAGAATTTTTTTTTAGAAATATGACTTAAATATTTTTGAAAAAAAAAAAAAAAAAAAGCTGCATGAAGAAAAGATAACTTAGTTTTCCTGTGGAAAAAGAACAGTAATAAGCTCACTCTTTAGTAGATATGAGGAAATCTAGTGACACATTTGTTTTGAATTAAGTATATATAAATTACACAACTTCTCCCTGGGGGTATTAATAAATGTAAAGGTTCAAGGAAGATTATATGTTTGGCTTGATTTTTCATGTCATGGACTTTTTCATTAAATGGACTAAAAGTGATTTTTTTTTATTGTTAGCTTTCAGAGAAATATCAGCTGATTTTCTTACTAATTGCCAAGCAATTCAAACAAATCTAGTATTTTATTTTATTTTACAAAAAATGAGATTGTTCAAACAACTTATTTCCACAGGTCTTGTAGAAATCCAGATTATTCCTGTCCTTCATAGTATAATCTCTCATTTTTTTTCCATTTGGTCATTTCTAAATGAAAAATTTGGACTGGTATGTCTTGAATTGGCTTTCTGATCTATGGAGTGGAAGTGCTTGTATACTAATTTATTTATTTAGTATACCATTTTACATAAAATGAGGAAAAAACTAGAATCAGAAGAATTCCATAAATTCCAACTGTATTTCTTTCCTAACTAATGTAACTCATGATTCCTAACTAATCTTGGTTGCTTCAGTCAGAAACTCCAGGCATAAATCACTGTATTAACTACATCAACAAGATTTCTCTGCTGAGATAATGAAATATATTTCATTTTAAACGTAACCATAAATTTCACAATTACCTACTATGTATGGTATGTCTTTTCATTTTCCCTAGAGAGAAGATGCATCAAATTAAATTCCTACAAGCTTCATGAGAATAGACAGCTGAGTGGAGATGCTTCTAGTGAGAAACAAGCTGAGCCTGATTTCTTGTATGTCCGATTATAAATTTTGCCCTCCCGTTTCTCATGCATGAAATATATTCTTCCACATAGGATTTCATGCTTCATTTTCACTATATTCGGTTGCTTTGCTCAGTTTTATAGTTTTGTTTTCTTTTACTTTTTCCTTTTCCTCTACACTTTGTCCAGTTTCATGGTTCATCTCTCTAAATAATTTCCTGTGCCACCCAACAGCCATCCTTCCCGAGAACTCACACAACTTCCCAGCATTGCATCTTCTTCATCTTTGGGCATGAATGCTAGACAAAACAATCATCTTGCAAAATTACTTTTTAGAATTAACTATTTTATGATTTATTTCCAGTTATCAATTGAAATTTAAACTGCATATGAGAATCCCTACAATGAGCTACCAGTGCTTCAGGGTAGAACCAGTTTACAGTTTGTTAAGCCTTTATGTCCTTTACATGCGATTCTTTAGTGTAATGAAAGATACATAATGATAATAAACATTTAAGAGTTATCTCAATTTCGTTTCTATCTGTTGTACTTTGTTCATACAGTGGCAGTTTGCTGTATAGCCCATATTTCCCACAGCAACATATTTCTCCTAAGCCTCCTTTTATTTTATTTTAATTTTTTTTTGCAAAGGCTATGGTGGTTTCTCGCTTACTATCTTTTGAAAAAAAAAATATATATTAGTAGCTTCTTAGAAAAAATACGTCATTAATTTTTGTCTTGACCTTTTTTGTCCCATGTCCCTTTGTTCACCTTCCCTTTGTCTTGCAAAGAATAAAGGATAAAGATTGGGATTAAGTTCTCAAAATGAGTTTCAGTGTCTTTTGTGTCGAGAAATTGAGAAACAATGGGCACAGATTGTCTTATCTGCACATCAGATGCAAAATCTGACAGGCAAGCAATATACTAACAAAACGGAAGAGTGCTTCTGAGTTTAATGTATATCTCCAGCATTCCCAGGAATAATATCCCACGAGGCTTTGAGAAACCCCAGGACAATTATCCTTTCACTAGGGATAAAGCAACCGCTGATTAAGTTAGTAAATGTGCACCTCTGCCTCTCGTGTGAGCATCCTGCAAAGTGAACAAACCCTACAATGTCTTCTCTTCAGCCTCACTTACATTTTTCCTTAGCAGTTGTGAGACAGCATTGGGCAGAAGTCAGAAGACCACTTATTCCTGAAATAATGGGCAGCATGGACTTCACCTTCCAACACTGTGTTCCCACCAGAGGCTTTGAAACCTCTAAACTTCATTCCCTCAAACCATACCACACCACAGTGCAGGTGATAGATGCATTCAGTTTCATTATTTAAAATAAAATAATTCTGATGGACTGTGGTAGATCCTTCACATTGCTACATATAATGTAAACTGGAAAGAACAGAATAAAAACACCCACGTAGAGTTAGAGGCTCCTCACAGGAAGGAAAAAAGTTTCCTGTGCTAAATACTTTATAAAATGGATGCAATCACTCAGTGCTGCCTAGGTTTACTGTCAAAACCAGTCCTTAAGCCTTTTGGCACTAGAGAATCTTCTTTAGGAATATGAAGACAGCCTTTTGGCTACCATCGTTCATCTTCCACCTCATACATATCTTCCTGTTTTCAGGGTAAGGCTTCGTTACCTTCTGTATGAAATGTTCTTGAGTGCGACTGAGTTCTTCCCTTTGAGAGATTGTAATTGGTAACAGATTAAACAAACAGTTTTCTTCAAACAAAAACATTATTTAATCTAAGTAACAGGCATAAGCATTACAATGAAGAAAAATGCATGTAAAACCCAAGACTGCATACGTGAATACCAGTCATAACTGGACTTTAACACTCAGTGAAGACACTCATCTTCTCTATTTCTTTTTTTAGCCATTTGAATTGTATTTCCATTCCTTTTTCATATTGAGTGCCACTTTTGACTTAATTTCTTTTTCTCAGCCTGTTTTTTTTTTTTTTTTTTTTTTCCTCTCTCTCTCTCTTAGCTCATTGAAAAATAATTCAGTGAATTCAAAAGGCAGTTTATTTAGCCTCTCCAGTGACTCATCTTCAAACTACCCTCAAACACTTGCTGTGGGATGTTATCCTGAGTCATTGTTTTGCCTTCCCACTTGCTTACCAATAGCTATTCTGATTTAACTCTTAATGAAAAATGACATTCTCCCTAGAGGAGAGATGTTGGGAAATGAGTCAGGCAGGAGAGCTTCAGCTACAGATATACTTTTATTCAATTAAGTCAATGTGATCAATGCATGGTCGCTCAATCCAAGATTTTTTGTTTGCTCTTTTAGTTCTAGCTCTTTTATAATGACCTCATTACTTAACAAAACCAAGTTTAAGACAGAATAGTCTAATCAGCTCACTGACTATGGTAGAAAAATCTGTAGGCTATCACACCTATTATATATACACTGCAGCAAAGCCTAATGTTACTTTTGTACTTTCAGAAGGTACTGTTTTTCATAACAAAGTATTCCTGGCATCATTGATGCCTATAATTATGTTATTCACATCCAATCCTGAGGATTTACTAAAGCACTACCCAGTAGGGTCCTTTTTACATCCAAGTCCAAAGTATTTTTGAGTGAGACAAACAATCTGTTCTATTTTGCTATCTTTTCTTATTCCCTCAAGTGTAGCAAATCCTTACTGTCTAATACCTTCTTGGAGCTGCCTTGTCTTATCTATATATATATACACACAGAGAGAAATATACACACACATATATAAAATATAAAATACTGAGAGCATTGCCCGTCTTTCAGTAACAACAATCTAGATAGGGAAGTTACTTCACTTAAACTTCAGTGTTCTCTTTCTATATGTCCAAGTAAAACTTTTTGAAAGCACGTTGCATAATGCAGAAAAGAGAACAAGTATTCCTTGCATTAGTAGTTGCTTTTTTTTTTTTTTTTTTTTTTTTTTAAACCAGACACAGAGCTTTGACTAATTGTAGTGTACTGATTAGAATTCTGCCTGCCAAGCTCTTTCCCTCATTTCTTAATGTCTTGCCTTATCAGATAAACTGGCATCAAAGGATTCTCTTAAGAAATTAAAATACTGAAGTTCTGAACTAAACCACTACATATATTTAATGGATAGGTTCTCAAGGAAAGATAAATGCAGCTGCTTGATTATGTGCTTCTTGGGTCTTTGTGCTATTACTTATTTGGATGTAGTTGGTAGTACGACAAACATTTTGGCATATTTCAAGGTTCTTTACAGTTTGTTTCTCAAGTCTCTTTACAAATTCATATGGGTTTACCTCTTCAGTACTGTTGTGACCTACAAATTTATTCAGAATTGAATTTACACCAAAGGAATCCCTGACAAAGAAAGAGAAACAGCAGCAGACACGCACAGAAGGCATGCTCCAAAGTGTTTGCAACTTTGCAGATGAGTTGGCAAAAAAGCCTTTAGAAATCTTGAGAGACACAGCTTAAGAAATGACAGCTGTTTGGTTATTGCACACAAGCTGGAAACATTATTGTGAAAACAATTAAAAACTAATTTCCCTAATCAGCCTGTACAGTGGTCGCAGTTTGAATTTTCTTCTTGACTCCTTTTAAACATGCTCACATTCTTGTATGGACAAGTTTGACTACCTTCCACTCTCTTTCAGTGGAAATACAATGTTTTACCAATTTCAGACTAGGGCACAGTTACTAATAATAGCTAATAGTAAACTGACAGACCAAATATTTTTGATGTCTTTTCTCCAGAATCAGGTAGGAATAAGCTAATTCAAATCAAAATCAAAAGGAGTGTTTATTCAAAGGTGTGCAGTTTCACAAGAGCAAATGTAGGTCTTCCCACATATGTTGAAGCCCTTTCTTCTAAGATTTAGAGAAATCTATGCAGTCTAGTTGATTTTGTGTTTGGATTGCAGATACACTTCTGATTTGTTAAAAGCATCTTTAAAGCCACAGGGCAAATGCTGAACTAAGTTCAGATCCATGACTTTCCATAATAAATGCAGAGCACCTAATACAATTAATGATACCACTCTTGAGGTCTAACTGCGGGTCCAGAATGGTAAGGTGGTTTAGGGGAAAGCACCAGTCAGGTGCTTCAGATATACAAGAGCCTCAGAGGGCAAAAGACACCTTGATTTAGGCACCTGAATTGACTGCATTATATCTTATGACATTCTGTCATCACTGCGTGTTGTTATGTTATTTTGATTCTGACCTACTTTTGAAAACATCTGTTTCCTGTGTTCAACATATCTGCCCTTAGAGCATGTGAGTACTGCAAGTGGAACACAATGAACATTTCACTTGTACATATTAATAACATCTAAAAAGTTAGGTCATTCAAGACATATCTTTAATTTTGTAAGATGGATGTTGATGGATCTCATCTTCAGGTATTTCCTCTGTTTTAAGCCTTAGAATCACTGAAAACTAAGATTTCAGAAAACTATTTGTTGTATACAAAAAAAAAAAAAAAAATTCTTGGGAAAAAAAAAAAAAAAAATAGAGAATCTCAACACTGAGAATCTACTTTCCAGAAAATGAATGTCATAACAAAAAAAAAAAAAAAAAAAAAAAAAAAAAAAAAGGAGGAAAAATTATCTAAAGCCTCACTCATTATTTTTATGGTATGCCACTTTTAAGATGGCTCTCTCAAACAAGCGTAACAGGTTAAAACCTTTAAGAGATACTCGGTCTAAATCTTTAGCTGCTACTCATGTGATTGTAACTGCAACAGACCAGTCCTTCTCAGCAATTTTTGAAGAATTATTGCCATTTTAAACTGCAGATATTTGGAAACAAATTTAAACTGTCCTCACTAAGAAGCTGCTGAGATTTTCTTTTACAAAGTGCCATGGTTTTATTAATATAAATATGGAGTAACTCTCAAAGGGTTAGAGTGATAGCAGTTGTATGATCATTTATCACATATCTGCACCTAACTAACCATGTGTCACTTTTTATTCCACAATTCAGAGACAAACAAGTTTTATTTGTAACATGATTGTAAGGATTTTTTTTTTTCTCTCATACAGCAAAAGAATAAATCAAGATGACCCAATTAAGAAACATAAAGAATTTACTGATTTGGTTTTACCACAATACTTGTGTATGATCAAATCATCTAAAAGGCATCTTTTGCATATTTTCTGTAATTTTACAATACAAAACTTGCTTTCAAACAACTGAAATATTACTTAAGATTTTAACACATATCCATTCAAGAGAATATATTATTTCCCATGCTTTTTTTTTTTGTTGTTGCTGTTGTTCTAACTACAGTAGTCCATCATTTTATTAAATACCTTATCCTGAGGAATGATTAAATAAGATTTTAACTTGCTTGGCTCCGTTTTTCTTCCCAATAAGAACAGCATCTAAAACTAATAAATTTTGGCTTTTCTATTAGTAATCTGATCCATCACTATATTTATTTCAGTTCCACAAAAATTTCTTCTTCCTTTCATTCTGACTATTAGTGGTGAGAAACAAGCTGTTATCAAGTACTTGGTGATTTGAATCTCTCTCTTCTTCAGTGCTCCTTGGTAATAGCACACACAATATTTGTTGGCAAGTTCAGAGAAGGACAAGCATTTCCTTTTTTGGAAATATTTCAAGTAGATTTGTAGTATATAACTCTTCAGAACTTTAAATTTGCTAGTAATTAATCAAATTACAGATCTTCTATTATCTATTAATTCTATCAAATCACAATTGGTGATTGATTGTGTTTTTTACAGCTACATTTTCAAAGTACAAGAAGGACTTAATTAATTAAGCAAATTAATTTGCTACTAGCAGCTCAGTCTAGAATAAATGGACAAAAAGCTTCACTTAAAAAAAAAAAAAACAAAAAAAAACACAAAAAACAGCACATTTTCATAGTTCCCACAGTTCCCAACTCTTTTTATGAAGATTTATAATACTTGAATAGGATCACCTCTTGTCAATACTACTCTTTATCAATACTAGGATCAGCATCATGTTTTATGATTAGTTTTCAAATAGTCTTTCCCACATGACATCTCTTTGCAGAGTGCTGGGGAACCAGAAAATTTCTCCTTTAACACAAACAGCTCTTTCCTTAAGAATTTACAACTATACAAGACAGAAAAGGACCCACAGATTAAAGGATTGTAGTGTCAGTTTGGGAATCATAGGCAACCTAACATACATTTAAGCTCAGTTTATAAGATCCTGAAACTGCTCACAGATGCCTTAATTCAAGTCCATTTCCTTGAGTAAAAGACTATATTAAGTCTTCTGATTCAGATTACCATACCTGATTCCACAAGACCCATAAGAATATGGCTGTCCACTAACAGCTAATGTTCTAGCAGTGGTATGATTTGTAGAGACAAGTGAAAGTACCTGTACCCTTTTGGAACACTAGAACTGTAAGTATATTCCTAATATTGCATGTAATTGTAATTTAGAATTGTAACAATTGTAATTGTAATTTAGAACATCAGATTATATTTACAGTTTTACATATGAAACTCACCGTCAATATTTCTGTACTGTACAACAGAAGAGTTCTGATGAACACAAAAAATATCCTAATGACATATACTAAGAAAAAAAAAAAAAGGTTTTTGTTGAGTTAACAAGAAAACCGTTGGATTTAAGCTTTGAGAAAATGAATTAAGCTTGCAAATACAAGTGATGAAACTCTACTTCATTTCTTAACATTTGAATAAGTTCTTGTCTGTGCTGGAATATCACTTTCAGTTCTTTTTCTACCAATTTTGATTTAAATGCTAAGTGGTAACAGTGTGACTGTAACAGTCCCTTGAGTTTCACACTATTCCATTGAAATTGTTTTGAATATTTATTCTTCTAAGTGCTATTTAGCTACACTGAAGACCTGCATTTTCATGCCTCTAACAGGAAACCTTTTCACCCAGATTTAGAACTAGCTTTTACTATTCAGTCTCATTACTGTTAAGAAAATCAACTGGCAGATTATTAAGAATGAAAACTGATTTCAGCAACCTAGTCCTTACAAGGCCTTTATTTCTTAAAATGCTTAAATGGAAGAGCTTACACTCCAATGAGAATTTGATTTGAAGTTTGCATTTTAAAATCTAAGGGTGTGTGTGTTAAAATTTACTCTGTCTTTTGAAACATTCTTGATCACGTTAAACAGCACATCATGCCTTCCCTTTGGCAAATAATGTAATTAAGCTCTATTATCATGCAAAAGTATCAAAGTAATTTAAACATTTAGAAAGTGAATCCACATGCATTTCATAAAGTTCCATGCAGAAACTTCAGCATGTAACAGAGGTGCAAAAAGAAGTCATCTAGAATTCAGAAAAGCTGTTTCTTGAGAAAAAGTTTTATAAGGCTTAAGAAAAAGTTGGTGAAGGGGTGAAGATAGCATTGACAGAGAATGGATCTGACAGCTGGTTGTAAATTGCGTATCTGGAATTATTCTCATTGTTTATAATGTAAATCACCATAGACAAAACAAAGATTTTCTGAAATGGAGCAGGAAGGTTTCTCTTTTATCCAAGGGGGCACTTCACAGGCACTTCACAAGGAGGGAACTGAATTCTTCTCAGACACTGCAGAAACAAACAGGGCTGCCATACTGAAGAGCTGCAAAGACCCCTTTAAAGGGTGATAGGCTGATGCTTTCTGAACAACAGGAGTTTTTTTGTTTGTCTGTTTGTTTGTTTTTAAACTCTATAAGCCATGAGATGCTCTTTGGAGAGCAAGGACATGTTAAATCTAAGTAGAAGGAAACTGAAGCAGTAGATACATGTCCATGACAATAAAGCTGCCATAATTGGGCTGCATTCTACTAAATGGAAGTCATTGGCCAGAGTGAGCAAAGTATTTTGGTACAAGCTTCTCTTTTAATGGAAAGGAAACATACAAACATTTTGTATGTTAAAAATAATCATACTGAAGATATCAATGTAGAAAGACATTTCTGTTTCAAGCAGAGTAAGCATCTAAGAGCTGCCCAGATTTGGGCCTGTGTAAGGATGCAGATCGAACAGAGACATATGGGACAGAAAAGTTCTCCTACAGAGACAAGATAATAATGCCTGGAAAGACTGTAACGTTTAAATAGCTTTTCCCTGATTCGCCACATAAACAATAATTACAAGGAAAGTCAGCTGCATTAGACTTGCATTAATCTGTAACAGTTTGCAGGAGGGAACTATGGCATCTGGAGAAGCAGAAATTACTTATACAGTATGAATAAAATAGAAACAGATAGAAAGCAGCAATGAAAATTACAAGAATACGAAATTTGTTCTGAGATACTGTTATACAAGCTCATACATGTGGATATATATGCATGCAAATCCACTGTATAGTCACTTTCTTCTGTATGCTCTGCCTGTTCCCATGCACCTGAGCTTCCAGAGGCTTATCTTAAGCAGCATCTACTATGAGTGGCTGGTGCACGTGATAAGCTCAGGGTGTCAGATACAGCGATGAGATCCCAGACAGGAAATGCTACAGCTCCTTGCTGGTCTGCAGTGCTCTTGCTCTCCCTAAAAAGCCAAGGGCTTGAGATAGGAAACACACTACAACTTCAGAATCAGTATTGAGATTGGGTATTGACTGCACTGCAGAGATGTGCAAAGCAAGACAATGATATTAAGCAGATAAATAGGATTTCTTTCAGTGACACTTCTTCTGCCAATGAAAAAAATATTTCAAATTGCCTGGCTTCTATATTTTTAACTCAGAAATAAACTTTTCTGGTTGTTTTTTTTTCCTTTTTTTTTTTTTTTTTCCTTTTCTGCACACAAGGACAGATAAACGTAGATGCATGCTTTTCATTATGTCTGGATAAACACTTGCTCTTTTAGAAAAATTTTAAAATTTAAGATGTACCAATTTTCAGAAGCCTTCAAATACACATCTGTTGATGTGTATCAAAGATATTCAAGTGAATCAAACCTGGGCAGTAAACATTTTGAAAAAGTTATGTAGGAACATCAAATTGTTTACAAGTCTTCAAACCTCCATGACACAATATGCAAACACACTACCTTGTACTTTTGGATTTGGATAATTTGCTGAAATTTCACTACTGATTTCATAGAAAGTAAGTTAGGCTGAAGAGGAGCACTCAAACCTACTCGCTGTTATATCTGTGGATATCTTGACTAGGCTGGGCCCATTTTCAGAGCATTCTACATACTCTGTATTCTCCTGCTTTATATTTTTATTAGGCATTGTAATGTGATAGAAAGCACAGCAGTAACAGCAGAGTAGCAAGGTCCGAGGCTGCAGCAAGTGAGGATTTACTCAAATGCAACAGCTGTGGGTACAAAAATAAAGAAAAAAATCCATTTACCTTCAGAAGGCCTCAGGCATGCAGAGGTCTCCAGCAAGATACCCTTGCCTCCCCTGACAACACTTAAATGAACCTGAGCTCTCTGCTGGGTTGGCCCTGCCTTCCCACCAGGTGCTCAATCACTGGTTCAAGCCATGACTTAGCATTTTTGCTACAGGTGTTTACTGCTTTTGCTGATTAACTTCACTAGTATTTCAACTGTATTGTTCAGTTCCAAAATCTCCCATTGGTGGGAGATTTTTGGTTTTTATTAGAATAGAGATGTTTGGCTCTCTTCTAGGCCTGCTGTATTATCAATAACATAAAATTTTAATATAGCTTAACAGTGTATTTAAGTTCAGATCTAATGCATGAAGGATTTTATTTATTGCTTTCATATTTTTTGTTTGTCAGAAACAAGACAACTGCTGAAAGAGGAAAAAGTAATGGTATTTGAGACACCCTCTACAAATGGCGATTAATGTTTTTCTTCACCAGCTGATAGTTGCTTACATAAAGCAATTAAGTGTTTAGGATATGACATACCTCCTAATCTGAGTTTGTACACAACCATTAAAATCTCTCTCTTAATACTCTTGCGGTCCTGTTGCCTCATTACATTAGACAAGAAGTTTTCACTGGCATCCCATTGTACAGAATTATTTCTAGATTGAAGAGCAATTAGAATCACACCAAATGGTTCAGGTAATTTATAAAATAAATAAATTACCACAGTTATCTTCTTCTTTTTATGTTTTGCATACAAATTACTATGTTATTAAAATTGAAATACAAAAATTTTATAAAAGCTAGCATTGTTTCACATATATAGTTTGGTTGGTGATTTATTGTGTTTATTTCTTTAGGGAGCCTTAGTTTTTATTATCTTGAAACTGGGTTCTACGCTACAAGACTACAAGTCTGTGGATAACACCCAGTTGTGGGATATGATCAACAAGATCAGGAGACAGGATGCCATCCTGAGGAACCTAGACAGGTGGGAGAGAATGAGCCCAGGAGAAACACATCAGTTTCAATAAATCCAAGTGCAAGGTCTTGGGTCAAGGCAACCTTCACTACCAATTGAAGCTGGGGGATGGAAGGATAGAGCACAGCACCACTGAAAAGGACCTGGGAGTACTGGTGGATGGCAGGCTGGACATGAGCCAGCAATGTACACTTGCCACCTAAAAAGCTAACCATATCCTGGGCTGCATCAAAAGAAGCGTGACCAGGAGGTCAAGGGAGGTGATCCTGCCCTTCTGCTTTGCGCTGGTGAGGCCTCACCTGGAGTATTTTGTCCAGATGTAGAGTCCTCATTACAGGAGAGACATGGACCTGTTGGAGTGTATCCAGAGGAAGATCACAAAAATGACCCAAGGGATGGACACTTCTCCACTGAGGACAGGCTGAGAGAGCTGAGTCTGTTCAGCCTGAAGTAGAGAATGCTCCAAGGTGACCTGAGAGCAGCTTTTCTATGAGATCTGAGAGCAGTATCTATGGGGGAGCTACAGGAAAGAAGGGGAAAGATTCTTTAGCAGGGTCTGTGGTGATAGAACAAGGAGAAATGGTCACAAACTAAAAGTGGGGAGACAGGTTGGACGTAAGGAAAAAGTCTTAGGTGGTGAGGTAGTGGAACAGGTTGGCCCGAGAGGTGGTGGATGCCCCATTCCTGGAGACATTCAAAGTCAGGCTGCACCAGGGTCTGAGCAACCAGGTCTGGTTTTGGACATCCCTGTTCACTGCATGGGAGTTGGATTAGATGACCTTTAAAGATCCTTTTCAACACTGAGTATTCTTTGATTGTAAGACCATAAGTAATCTCCTTCATGCAAGTGTATCTATTAATATTCTTAGCTATAGAACTGGAGAAAACAAAGAGTCCCTCCAGAATGAGGAACTATGCAGAAAATATTTCTTAACTGTTGGACCTGTGGAGGCTCAGACTGAAGTATAGCAGTTTACTGGAAAAAGAAAACAAAACAAAAAACCAACAGAAAGCAGCTCTTTGATCATGCTTACAGTGAGGAATGTAGTCCTAGAAAAGGACAGTGGATAGTACTCAAAATATGTACAATAGTAATAAGAAGCCATGTCTCTTTAACAATTTATAGGTAGAGATTTTGAAAAAGGTTTGTTCAAACTGCAGGAAAAATAGTACATTCATTTGTCTTCTTAAAACCACTCAACATTTTGGATTCTCTTCTCATTCCAAGGATTCTTTGGACTCATCATGCAAAAGCAGACTAAGCAACAACATCATCTATGAATGCTCTATTAGAGTCAAAATAAATGTAGACAAAAAAACATAGATTCACAAAGTTGGTCATGATGATAAGAATAAAACATGCTGGGATGCAGTAAGGGTTCTGTGACATAAACACTGAGGAACTGTGGATGATTATGGAAGGGTACAAAAACCAGTTTTTCTAAAGTGCCTTTCCAGATTCAGTAGATTATTGCATTCCTGAGCTAGGAGTGTATGCATGCTGTTACACTGACCGGCCACAAATGTACATAACTTCCATTAATTCACCTGTTACCTGTTTTTAACTAAACAGGTATAGTTTTTAACTATAGTTTTTAGCTATACTATGCTCTTTGGCAGTTATTTCAACAATCTAATTAATATATGCTGCACTAAAGAATGTGCTTCCTTTTATTTTGTTATAAACCTATTTCCTTGATAACTCCCTGACCTTTTCTTAGATAACACATGCGCTGTTTGTATTTATGCATGTAGCCAATAAATAACATTGTGCATTTAACTTACACAAACGTTTTGCCTTTTGATTTCCGTTTCAGATCTTTCAGCTAAAGAAGAGATCTATCTTCTCCTCACTTTCCTTCACAATGAACATCTTTCTGTATATTAGATGATATTCATTTGACCAAGAGGTTAGAATTCATTTTCTATATCTCTTTGGGATCATACTATAAGCTGATACCACAAGAGTTTAGTTCTCAATATTTAAGATCTCTCATTTGATAGAGCCATTGCAAAAGTTTCCTCATAAAAAGTGGGAAAAATAGGCCAAGCTACATAAATTTTTTATCACTCTCTATCAGTTAACATAAGGAAGTAAAATAAGTATTCCATTATGGGCATTCATGAAAAACCTATGAAAGAGTGCAGAAATAATTGTTTCCAAGAGAATCTGGATTAGGTCTACATTATTCCTCTCTATCATGGTCCTCACAGGGAATGTTAAATCAGTCAACAAAACTGTAAGCTGTTACTATTGATTTGCCTGTTTAAGATCAACATTTAGACATCTATTGTAATTTTCTGTTGTTGATTTCTGTTGATTTCTGTTGTTTCTTCATTGTTTTTGTTTTTGTTTTTTATAATATTTGTTCTGTTTTATGTATTTTGCAGGCACTTAGAAGCCTTAGCAAAGAACACGATATGGAAAAGTTGATGGGATTAGGAAATCTTCCTGACAAGATAACTTGTTTTATGATTTAGAATAGCTTGAGTTATCAAAAAAAGTGCTTTGTAAGTATCTTACAGACCGTTACACAGTTGGGAATGCTGAAAGCCAGTTGACTGAAGTTTAATTTCATTTTCATTTTCCAATGGCAGAAATCCAATTTCATCTTTGGTATTTCATATTCCCCATTTTGATTTTCTACAAAACCGCTTGTATAGATTTCTACGGTTAACCTACAAATATGCTATCAGACTAACATAATTTTGATGTTTTGGTTCAGTTCCTTATTTTGAATTTAGGTTGGTAGCACTGTAAACCAAAAACAATGTTAAACATCATTTTATTTTGATGCTTTGATTTATGTTATTACAATTTACAAGACTTGATTCCTCAGAAACTCTTCACTATTTCATGTTTTGTCACACTATGTTGTGTGAAAGAGATATCTATGGCAATTATTCACACGCTCTATATAAAATGACTTCTTATATAGATGCAATCATTGAGTCTCCTGACACAATGATTTTGCGGATAACAAGCTAGGTAGCTTCATTCCTTTCTCAGATGATGCGTTCTGTTTTAAAGTCCTAAAGATCACCATAGTGTATAAGAGCAGTGAATAAAAGTACATATCTTGTATTCATGGCTCTCTGTAACCATAACCATGGTTATCTAGTCTCTGTAGCCATATCTATGAAGCTATTCAAAACATGGATTTGAGTTTACGAAATCTCTGTGAACAAATAATAGACAGCAACACGAAGTGGCTCAGAGGTAAACTTCCTTAAATTCTTTCATGGCTAAACTGAACAGATACAATGAGAGCAACAATGAATTATGACATGAAAAGCAAATAAGAAGTTATCTGCTTGTATTTAAAATTGTTATTCTTTCCACTGAAAATGTTAGCTTGGCAATACTGATTGAATTACTACGAGATATGCCCCCTTTATGAGGTAATCACTGCTGATTCTGTGTGATGACTATCCGACAACATGCTCTGAGCCATTTTGTAATTTAAAAATGAAAGGAGTAATTCCTGTGTGCCTGACAGTGATTGTTGTGTTCGAAAAGGTTTTAATGATATGGCTAACTACTATTTTGCTTCAAGAGAGTTTTCTTTTACATAAGCTGTCCTTAAAGATAAGAACATAAATTTTAATTCGAAACAAAGGGTCATGGTGAAACTGCTAAGTAGGGAAGCTAAGCTCAAGAGATGTATTACATTCATCAGAATTAAGAAAAATAAATAAATCACATAAATACTGTTAAATCTACACTGAGGAAAGCTGTGTGTCTAATACACACATATTCTGTCTCAGAGTAAGATACTAGAATACAAACTCAGATCTGTCTTATTTTCCTTATGCTGAAGCAACTGTATATTTCAAAATATGTTTTTTTTTGTTTGTTTGTTTGTTTTTGTTTTTTTTTTTTGTGGTCTGAGAGAGAATAAATAAAAGCAATGATTTTTAGAGGAAAAAAACTGCAGAGTGTGCCAAAGATACACAGATAACATTAAATTTAAAAGCACCAGAAAAATATATACACAGCAATAAAAAGTCAGACCTTTATCAAACAGTCACAATGACAGGCAACTCAGCTAAATGATGTACATTTAGGAGCATAATAAACAACTTCAGTCTTCTCATCTCTGAAACAAAATAAGAGCTTTACCTCCAGCTGAG